CAGGGCCGCCATTTTACACATAATACTTCTATTCATGGTAATCTAGCAGGCTCATCCAATGCCTATTCCAATGCCACTATCTTCACGTAGAAATGCTCCATGAGGCTGTCTGAGGGTCATTGTAGCTGTAGGCTCCATACAACTATGATAAGGTTGTTGGCTTGATGGGCAAACTCTTCAGTCAACATAATGTATCTGGAGGATTCTGTCTCCAATCTGAGGAGCCCACTGCCTCTGCTCAAATTATTTTAACTTGGCTGAAAGTGCAGACCTTGTTCTGTAGCAAGTGCAGCTCCCAATTTGGCGATGTTGTTGGAGGGATGAATATTGGCAAGATTTCCAGTTCTTTCTCAAAATAGTGCAGTACATCCCCCTGAGTGAACAGATTAGGCCTCGATTCATTGTCTCATCCAAAGTATGGCACTTCTGACAGTACAGCACTCCCTCTGCACATCATTGGAACTCCAATATGTACACCACATATGTACTCAAACCTTGGAGTGGGTTTTGAGCCCACAAGCTTCTGGCTCAGAACCGTTGCTACTATTTGTTTTGGAAATTGGATTTGAAATAAGGACAGTTTTGGATTGAGATTGCCCCATGATCGTTTCATCTGGGACTTTATTGAGGAGACTTTTTTTGCTAAGTTTGCTTGGAATGCAGAAGGGGAAGACCAGTGCTTTAACCTACAGTTTTCATTTGGTTCATTGATGGGATGATTGGCTAGGCCTTTATTTATTGTCCATCCTTAATTACCCAGAGGGCCGTCACAAGTCAACCACATTGCTGTTGGTCTGGAGTTACTTGTAGACCAGACCAGTTAAGAACAGCAGTTTCCTTCCCTAAAGGACATTAGTGAACCAGATGGGGTTTACTGACAATCAACAACAGTTTTATGATCATCATTCAACTCTTAATTCCAGATTTTTTTTTTATTGAGTTCAAATTCCATCATCTGCTGAGGTGGGGTTTGAACCAGGGTCCTCAGAACATTCCTTGGGTTTCTGGATTAATAGTCTTAATACTCATACCACTCGACCCGTAGCCAACTCCCATGAGCTTGCAGTGAGCTTTCATTTGGTATTTTCCCTCCCAGACCATTATCTTTGGTTGCAATAGTGAGAGGAAATTACCAATCACTTACCAATCACATACGTGACATGAGAAATGAAAATAACTAATCACTCAAGAGCAAGCGCTGTCATTCACAGTTACCGTGGAAAGTGTGGACAGCCTCATGAAACTCAATTCCTTGTAATATCTGTAAAACAGCCAGAATCCCATCCGATTCAAACACAATTTATTTCATTTAGTCACCGAGCCAGTACAAACAGGACACAGTTCCCCAAAGATCAGTAAAAATGGCGGAATCAGATGTAATGAAAACAGAATTTGATTTGCTTTATCCAGCTTCAAATATGTCTTAGGTTCCATTTGCTTGATTTTTGCCAAATGCTGCGGAATTGAATGTGACTGCACGAGGCAGAGACAAGAAGTGGCACAAAGTGGACAGGTCCACTGGCTGCACTTGTGTAGGTCTACATCCCTCATGTGTGGGCTTTTGCTATCAAACTGGGGTGACCAGTCACTCCTGAGCTTATTTGTGTCCAGTCTCACCGCTTGTTTGGCTGAAGTGCTAATTGATATCCCGCTTCCCTGACAGTGAAATCGATCATAACACCCTCCAGATCATATAACCCAGCATAGAGCTGAGACCAAGTTTGTCAATGAGAGGTCCTGTAGAGAGTTTGATTCTCTTAAAAACATAATTGAAGTGACTTTCTTCACTGAAAAACCTAATTCATGCTGAATTGGGCTGGAAACAGGACATGGGAAACTTGCCAGAGCCAGATTTAACAGATCTGTGTAACTGCATCTAAAGGCAGGAACTGTTTAGGTGTGCAGCACATGCACAGAGCTTCACTGTTTTGGCATTACCAGACATTTCTCTTCAAGAATAACTTCTAACTTCCACAGCTCCTACGCTGATATTAAAAACTGCGGTCTGAATACTAAATCAAAATACTTTACCTACTGCAGATTCTGTACCCATTCAATCTTTCAGAGAATGAACCCATTCACTGAAGCTGTTTGCATTAAGGCTGTGGGCTCAAGCCCCCACTTCAGTAACTCAAGAACATTATCTCAGCAGATAAGAGCACAAGATGTTGGGGCAGGAGTAGGCCATTCAGCCCATTTAGCTGAATGTTCCACCATTCAATGTGATTCTGGCTGATCTGATAATCCTCAACTCCACTTTCCTGCCTTTTCCCTATAAATCTCAATCCCTTTCATGATTAAACAATCTATCTCAGACTTTGAATGCACTTAGCAATTCAGTCTCAACAGCCCTCTACAGTAAAGAATTCCAGAGATTCAAAAGAATTACCATTACCACTTCTGAGATGTTGCTGTGTCCAAATTGGTGGACGCTTCAGAGCTTATTTATTGGCCATGGAGTATCTTGGCAAAGCGCAAAGAGAAGAAAGGTGTTCCACAAACAGAAGTTTGTTCTCCCTTTCTGGATTTATTTGGCTATGACGTGAACAAGTCAGTTTGGCTGCCTCATTAAAATTACAACCATCTCCCCTGCCCCCTGGATGCAAACCCCTCCCTCACCCCACCCAGCACGCAGGAGTCTAACTTACAGAACAGTACATGATATCGACAGTAAAATTAATAAAAGTTTAAATATAGCTGCATACCTATAATATTCGCCTTTCTTGGTCAATTGAGTTCAATGAACAGTACAAAGGTATATGCCAGGAGCATGCCAGACATGCCTAAAAATGAGGATTTAAACCTGCTGAAGCTACCAAACAGAACTACTGGTATACAAAACAGCATTAGCCGCAAGTGATAGACAGAGCTAAGTGAGCCCACAACCAACTAAGATCAGATCTAAGCTCTGCAGTCCTGCCACATCCAGTTGTGAATGGTGGTGAACAATTAAACAACTCACTGGAGGAGGAGGCTCCACCAATATCCCCATCCTCAATGATGGAAGAGCCCAGCACATCAGTGCAAAGGATAAGGCTGAAGCATTCGCAGCAATCTTCAGCCAGAAGTGTCGAGTAGATGATCCGTCTTGGCCTCCTCCAGTGGTCCCCAGTTTTACAGATACCAGTCTTCAGCCAATTCGATTCACTCCACTTGATATAAAGAATTGGTTGGAGGTACTGGATACTGCAAAGGCTACAGGCCCTGACAACATTCCAGTATGATGCATGTCCTCCAGAACTTGCCGCTCCCCTAGCCAAGCTGTTCCAGCACAATTACAACACTGTCATCCACCCAACAATGTGGAAAATTGCCCAGCTATGTCCTATACACAAAGCCGGACAAATCCAACCCGGCCAATTACCGCCTCATTAGTCTACGCTCGATCATCATTAAAGTGATGGAAGGTGTCAGTAACAGCGCTTTCAAGCAGCATCTGCTCAGCAATAACCTGCTTAGTGACGCCCAGTTTGGGTTCCGCCAGGGTCACTCAGCTCCTGATCTCATTACAGCCTTGGTTCAAACATGGACAAAAGAGCTGAATTCCAGAGGTTAGGTGAGAGTGACAGCCCTTGACTTGAAGGCTGCATTCGATTGAGTGTGGCATCAAGGAGCCCTAGCAAAACTGGAAGAAATAGGTATGAGGGGGCAAACTCTCCACTGGTCAGAGCCATATCTGGCATCGACGAAGACGGTCGTGGTTGCCGGGGGGGCAGTCATCTCGGCTCCAGGACATCCCTGCAGAAGTTCATCTGGGTAGTGTCCTAAGCCGAAACATCTTCAGCTGCTTCATCAATAACCTTCCCTCCCTTGTAAGGTCGGGAGTGGGGATGTTTGTTGATGATTATACAACGTTCAGCACCATTCATGACTCCTCAGATACTGAAGCAGTCCATGATTAAGTGCAACAAGATCAGGACAATATCCAGGCTGGGGCTGATAAGTGGCAAATAACATTAACGTGACACAAGTGGCATTTACCTTCCCAAACAAGAGAGAATCCAGCATTGCCCTTGACATTTAATGGCATTACCATCACTGAAACTCTCACTATCAATATTGTGTGGGTTACCATTGACCAGAAACTGAACTGGATTTTCCATGTAAACACAGTGGCTACAAAAGTAGGTCAGAGGTTAGGAATACAGCAGTAACTCACCCCCTGACTCCCTAAAGCCTGTCAATCACCTACAAGGCACAAGTCAGGAGTGTGATGGAATACTCCCCACATTCCTGGATGGGTACAGCTTGAATAACACTCAAGGAGTTTGACACCATCCAGGCTAAAGTGGTTTTTTGATTGGCCCCCCATCCACCACTTAAAACTTTCATTCCTTCCACTACCTCCTCAGCCATTAACATAGATTGTAAATATTTGGGCCCAAGGACCAAATCCTGTCGGACCCCACTAGTTCCAGCTTGTCAACTCATAGAGATCAGTTTCTCCCAGGCCTGTTGTTAATGACATCTTGGACAGAGGGTGTTAAGGCATTGCAGTTATGCTTTGTGCTCCTGATATAGAGATGGGAAATTGAGCTACTCCTGAGGTCTATCCCAGCTGTACTTGTGTGTCACCAGTAAAGAGAGGATTGGTTGTGACTGTGCAACCTCCACTGCAAATAGCCTCTGTGTACAGAATTTACTGAACGTCAATGCCCACTAGACTGGGTTAACAGAAGGAGCTGCTGATGCTGAGCAACATACTACAACATTATTCAAAGCTTCAGGAGATTCCCAGTAAAAGGATATATTTGTTGAGTAACTCCTCTGGGACAGAATGCTGCCATTAATTCATTTCAATAATTGGGCATTAAACTTATATTTTCTCTGGATATTTCTCACTCGTTAGTCCCCCTGCCACGCTGCTTTGATCCTAATGGATAATTCTGCTTTGTTCTAGTTAGCTCACTACTGGCTGACTCCTTTACAGTGCACAACTGGTTTACGCATTGACTATAACCGCAGTGTTATACTGATAAGAGATTTATTTTGTCTTTTAGATTCCCTGTCTTCAGGTGATGATGAAGATGATGATGACGGATCTGAAGATGCAGGTACTGTGTCAGTGTTGGAGAAAATTCACTTGCTTTCCGTCCTCCCAAAGTTAGGAATTTAAAGGAAAGCAGAGAACTTATGACTGGCGTTTTTGCTCCCAATAAATGGGTTGCGAACTGGTCATTCAGTTGCTGGTGTTCATGAAATATTGGTGGCATGTCATATTTGGTGACTTAACAAATACAACTGCACTTTCAGACATTGTCAGCCGATAAGATATTGCGGTGAGCAAACCATCATAAAACCATTCTTGTCCAAATTTCTAGCACAGTGGTACAGTGGCTCAGTGAGTTAGCACTGCTGCCCCACAGCACCAGGAATACGGGTTCAATTCTAATCTCAGGTGACAGTCTGTGTGGAGTTTGCACATTCTCCCCGTGTCTGCATATGTTTCCTCCAGATACTCTGGTTCCCTCCCACTGTCCAAAGGTGTGCAGGTTAGGTGGATTGGCCATGCTAAATTGCCTGTAGTGTCCAGAGATATGCAGGCTAGGTGGGTTAGCTATGGGAAATGCAAGGCTACAGAAATGGTGAGGGAGGTGGGTCTGGATAGGATGCTCTTCAGAGAGTCAGTGTGGACTCGATGAGCCAAATGCCACAGTAGGGATTGTATGATTCTAGTAAGTCTCCCACTGGGTACAGCCCCACTTATGAAATTAGAAATTCAAGTGCTTTGCTTCTCATTGAACATATTCAAACATTATTAACTATGTAACAATAATGTGGTCTTGTCATTGAGCATCTAAACAAGCTATGGTTACTGACTAATGAAAATGTACTTGTTAAATTCAGCCTGTACAGTTCTGTGGCATCTTTACTGTGGACTTACTTTAAAAAGGGTGTTGTCTTTAGTTATGTCTAATATTTGATAGTTGGAGCAAGGTGTAAGCAACCGGGGTTCCGATAGCTGAGCCCTGTCATATGTTGGAGATACAGGGAGGAGTGAGAGAAAAAGGGGGAAAAGAGCATAATCAAGTAAATATGTGGAAAGACAGTGTTGATGAAACAAAGACTCATCTGTGAGAATGGTCATGGAATAATTGCCCAGCTCACACATGTAAGATGATAATTTGGGATGTCATGGAAGGTTGTAGGAATTGCATCCCACTCAACATCAGTATGCTCATTCAGAGAAAGTAAAAACTGTGCTGATGTTCTGTGTAAACTCTGTGGATGTCCATCAGGTCAATTCAATTGATGCAGATCCGGTGAACTTGTAAAATCAAAACTCGCTTTAATTTAGTGATTTTCACATCTTTGAGAATTATCCTAAAATACATCAGGTAATTCAGAATTGTGCAGTTCCTGTTATATGCAAACAGTAATGTCTGGTAAACAGTACTGAGATATTCAGCAAACTAATGCCTTTTTAATTAACAGCACTTGATATTACAACGTCGGCATGGGTGATGTGCTACTACATTTGGGAATTTGAAGATCTACCTTAACAACTGGGACAAGCAAAAGGGATTTGGCACAGACAAATGCAGACCAGTGGTGAAGCCCCTAGTTCAAGTCACAAGCTTAGGAATGGGCCTTTAACCCGCATCTTGAGGCACTAATGTGATTCTGTCTATACAAATCCCCATCTCAGAATTAAATTGTTATACATAATTCTGGCATTTGTTGACCTCAATGCATGAGTTTTTTTAACAAAACAGGAAAGATCCTCTTTCAGAAATGCTTGACTAAATTCAGGGGAGTTCCACATGGTGTGCCTGAACCTCCCTGCAAAAGAATTGATGTGCGTTGTACTGCTATGGATTGGTGGACACTAGTAACAGCCTCCCCAATGCAAGCTAAGCCAGTGAGCTCTGACTGAACATTTGATGGTTTAACAGGACCTAGAGATTAATGGGAATGGACTTCGTTCTTTACACTGACAACTTTTTGACAGTACCAGGATCACAGTCTCTCATCTCTGCAGGACAAATAAAGAAAAAGATACAATGATTATTTCCCCGCGAAAGCATGCGTTGCAGACAAAAAGAATAACTTTGGTTTTGATTTCATTATTTTTTAAAGGCACTGTCATGTTGCTGCGTGAAGTCCAGGTCAGAGATGCTTGAGGACTGATCTGCTAGGTTTGTGATACCTGTGAGGTGATGGGATCTCTTGGAAGATCTTTAGAAAGCAGAGCATATCTCCCACACCCTTGACCCCTGTTCTCATGAATCACCTTTAGACTGCATTCTAATCTCTGGCAATACTTTTAAAAAATATTTGACTTTGAGTACTGAGCCACCTTCTTGAACTGGTAAAGCTCATGTGGTACTGGTACTCCATAGTGTTGTAGAAAATTTACCGCATTGTGTGTGTAACCTCCACAGGGCTTCACAGTTAGTACCATACAAAGTGCATCAGGGCAGCAGAACAGAGTGCAAAATACAGTGTTACAGCCACAGACAAGGTGCGGAGAGAGAGCGAGATCAACACTAACATTTGAGAGGTCCATCCAACTGCCTGATAACAGCAAGGAAAAGCTGTTCTTGAATCTGTTTGTATGTGTATACAAACCTGTATATCTTCTGCCTGACAGAAGAGAGTGGAAGAGAGAATAACCAGGGCGGGAGGGGTCTATGAGTATGTTGGTTGCTTTCCCAAGGCAGCAGGAAGTATAGATGGAATCAATGAATTGATGGCTGGAAGGGCAGGAAATTGCTGCAGCCAGTTTTTGCACAGCAAGCTTCCACAAGTACAAAATACATTCATGACCAAGTAATCTGCTTTTGAGTGAGCGTTAAATGAGAGCTAACACACCAGAATCACATCACAGCTGTTCCTCCAATAGTGAACTGATAATCTTCTATGTGTACTCAAATGGACAGTCAAACCTTGGTATAACATCTTATCTAAAAAACAAGATACTTTAAAAAATTAGCTCAGAACATTTACCTAGCTAGACGCTGTGCTATGGTGTCCGAGAAGGACCAAGGCTTGATCTTTGATGTGTGTTTACACGACAGTAGTTGGGGTATGGCTTTGGTCTCAAACCTTCTGAAAGAGGAAAGTTATTCAGGATTTAGTCCACAGCTGAGCCTTACTTGGAGAGTGCAAATACAGATATCAGTTGAGGACAGGGTAGGACCCTTAACTTGCATTAATGAACAAATAACCAACTGATTCTCCAGGTTCTGGTTAATGTACAAACAGTAACCTCTCGGGCAAGATACTGGAGGACAGGCTACAGCTTGTGCACATCTTCACCAGACCCCAAACACACCTCTTGTTATAGAGTGACAGCGTCTATGACAACAACAACGTAGTATCCCTCTTCAGCAGAAACCTGAGCTGAGCTAGGATCAATGAATGCGGTGTTTCTTTCACCAGAGCAATCAGCCCTTAATTTAGTGGAATCTGTGGCGTAAGTGAGTTCTGTGTGCATTTCATACCACAGCCTCTCCATGAGTTAAGGATCTCTGCTACTTGTGAAGGAGCCTCTGTATTCAGTGGTCTCATTGCGAGTTGTTGCCTTATTTATTTCCTCAGTATATAATGTTGTGCATTAAAATTCACTGAGCAACGATTAAAATGTGCCCTTTATTTTACAGTGCAGTGCCTTTTTGGCATAAGTACAAGCATGGGGAGCAGGAATGCCATCAGGACAGAGATTACTTCAGGATTCGCTTTCCATTTTGTAATATTGGTGCAGAATCAGACATATACAAAGAGTGATGGAGGTTGGCTAACTTATTTTTACTGGTGACAGTGAGTAAGCACAGCACCTTCCTGAGGCCTAGTGGCAATGCCGCTGGTTTGATTGTGGTCAAGATCCCACAAAGTTGGCTTGCTGGTGAGGTTTCTGATGTCAGGCTAATAATAACATGGAGATAGGGCTGAGGGGGACAAACTGTGTCAGATGGAGTGACAGTGAGCCCCGAATTGGCTCTCGGATGTGAGCAATAGCCACTTACACCATTAGTTGTCCAGGAACATGCCCCACTGGTAGTCGATGGCAAGGGCTGTGTCACTGGCCTCAGGCTCCCACCCATGCCCCTGCCCCAGGAGAGCGGGAGGCACAGCTGTGTGAAAGTACCTGCTCCTGATATGTACTGAATGCTGGGCAGGTGTGTACATGCATAGCTGGGGGAAGGCAGCATCCAGGCCACATGTGATTCCTGCTCATGTCAAATAGTCATTATCTATAAAATGGCCCCTTGGAATGAACACAAATTCAACACAATTTGGTATCTTCAAACAGGGAGGTGAGGAGAGAGGGGAGAAGGGTTTGGGACCTGATTAATTGAAAATGAAAAGAACATGACTGATTGCGCCTATGTTGACTTTGAGAAAAGAAGAGCCAATCAGCTTCCTCTGTGCAGTAAAGGTGATTATAGATGCTCAGGAGCAGAGTCGACATGACGTCTATCTTTGGAACATGCTCCTAGCAGAAATTGCCACAGAGTGATCGTGAGGGAGAATATCTTCTTCCTCCGGCCGTGGAGTACTGCAGGAAGGTGCTACATCTCCACTGCGCAGTCTTCTCATAACCTCATGGCAGCTAAAGACCGGGGATCCAAAGCATGTCCTTCCTGGTCTTGGCAGCCCTGCTGCCCAGCGAACTCGCGATGAGGCCTCGCAGCCACTTATCAAACAGATCAACAGAAGCCTCCTCTCCATGGGCGCTAGAAAACATCCGTGTCACCAGATACTTGGTTGCTGCAGTCCAATCCCACTTTGCAACATCAGTAGGTGCTGGGTTTTATTCATTCACTTATTGTGGGCATTGCCCATTTATTGCCCATCCCTAATTACCCAGCTCGCATTTAAAAGTCAACCACATTACTGTGGATCTGAGCAGGTGGGCCACACCATGTAAAGACAATAGATTCCCTTCCATAAAGGACATCAGTGAACCAGGCGGGTTTTTTTTTTAACGGCAATCTGGTAGTGTTGACGTGGTTGTAGCTTTTTATTCCAGATTTTTCAATGAGTTTGAATTTCATGATTCGCCATGATGGGATTCTATCCCATGTCATCAGTGCAGGAGCCTGGAGTT